TAATGTTATCAACCAAACATCAACTGTTGCCTTTGCTTCAGCGTTGGATGCTACCTTTAGAGCTGCTTGTTGTGGATCGAGGAATGCAATTAATGCTCAGGATTTACGATCAATTAATTATGGTCCTCAATGGCATTGTATCAAATTGTTCGCTCGATCGCTCTAATTTTCATGTTAATTCAATTAAGTTTTTAGTTTTCTGCTCATAATAATAATGTTTTGAGTCTTCTGGCGATTTTTTACTCAAGCGTTTTAGTGGGTGTTCGTAAACCAATCATTCAGCAATTAACAAAACTAATTATGGTCTAGTATCGGCTTTACCATGTGCTTACTTCAATCAATGCTACCACGCTTGTGAGTGTTGTTAATCGGATGCGATCCTCAGACACCATGGTAGTGACTGGGTGTTTTAATGGTTATTTTATTATCAATAGCATTATAATTAGACCTCATGACTAACCAATATCCGACTTACTGGTGACTCTCGAAGTTCTTCTTAAATTCAAGTAAACAACAAGACTGCGTACATAAACAAGAAAGTTGCCAGAGTTTCATAAACAAAGAGGACGTCTAGCTGTCAAATTTATGGAGAAACATGCGATCTGAGACCAATCCTACCGTACATCTTATATATCAGGAGCTTTAATTCATTAAGGAAGGACTAATTATAAGTACTTATAAAAATTATAATTACTTATAAGCAATTATAGATAATACTTACATGTAATAATTATAAGTACATTAGTCTGCTTAAATCAAAATAAATTCCTGATAACTTAAGGAAACGTTTAGAAGGCCACCTCCGGCACCATCAGCTGATTATAATTGTTGATTATTTTATCTATTACATTATTATATTTATATTATATGCGCGTATCGACTATGCGTGCATCAACGTGCATTGAGATTCAGTTGTGCATTGAGCTGGTTCGTTTTGTACAGAAACTAATAATGTACCTGAGATGATGCTTCTATTGTACATATAAACCAAGATATTTTGGAGAATAATTAGATACTGTGACTGATATTAAACTATTGACCGATAACGTGCATTACGTGTATTATTGACCGATAACGTGCATTTGACCGATAACGTGCAGTTATTCAAGTGAATGCTTGCAAAGGGACTGAGAAGATTTATTTTAAGAACTTAGCCATCGGAAATTCCTCTTCCACTTGAAATACCATTCAACAACTTTATATTAATGGAGGCTATATTAAGAAATAACATTTGAATCCTAAAATTAAGCTATTAGTTTCCATTCAACATTGCTGACACAAGAGAAAATGTTATACAAAAACGCAGGCCTGTTGATACGAGTCGTGTCTTTCGTGTCAAAATACGCGTTGATTTCTTCGCACTTTTTTAATACAATTTCTAAAACTAAATAACTAAATAGGGTACAAAGACTCGTATAATTTTGTTGATTTTATTAATTCCATCGCCAGGGCTACTCGAGGCATGAAAATAAGTTTTTTTTGCAGGCCTCAAGCGCGGACTCAAAGATATGAATGAAACATTGTTCAAATAGAAATGCACTTTTAGCACTTTTGTGTGTCATTTTGACCAAGTTTGGCATGACAGATGGGCGTATCACTGCTACGTCCGCTCTGTGCTCGCGCTGTGGGTGAGAAAGTGTATTTCTACTTGGACACTTTTATCTACACATTTTTCTGAGTGTAAGGCGCAGCGAGATCGCGCCGCCTGTCATCGCCTGGCGGGGGGAGCAGCTCCTGGAAAAAGTTATGATTCGATATCAAACATCAGGCTTTAACACCACTGAAAAAATGAGATTGAAAGTAGACTGCAAAAGCCACATTAAAATGTTTCCGTTGTTTGGAGATTCAATTGAAATCTTTACTAATTCATTTTCTTTGGGCTGGGAAAAAGTTCCGCGTGCCAGAAATTCAGAAAGCATTTTATCTAAATCAAGCTAATCATAAGCTTTAATAATATAAATTTGAACTTGAAGAAATCTGCTCGAATAAAGCCTTTATTATAATATTTTATTTTATTTGTCTTTGAATGTTTCATTGCAAGTAAGCGCTGGAGTCAAGCGATTAATTCTCCGACTGTAGAGTGAAATGAAATTAAAATTTTGCTCTTCTATATATACCTGCATTCAAAAACTTGTCATATAATCGCTTCAATATAAAAGATAAATATAATAGCAACTCTGAGGCGATAATGACCAATACTGGAAAATACATGCATTCCATCTTGTTACAACCACAATGTATTTCACTCAATTATCGAGACTAACCAATCAAAACACGCAAAGAATATCGCCCGGAACACCGCAGACATGATTTTTGACAAGTCTGGTTCCCAAGTCGTAGTCTGCACATATTGCGCCGAATGATATGGCAGTGTTGGTGGGATCAGATGCCGACGTACATTGGATCGTTCGCCGGCAATATGGTCCCGTCGTCCCACTTCCAGACGGCAGCGTTACTGTCGTGTGTCAGAGGAGCCAGAGCAGCTGCCGGAGCAAACAACATAAGTTGAATTTTTTTTTAAATTATTATTATAATAATTACACGGCACAATAAAGCAGATCCGAATTAGTGTACGGTACTTGACATCACTAGCTATAAATTTGATCTTTTAGCATCGGTAACAGGTCAAGTTCTGAAGTTGAAATGTGTGACTTTAGGATTAGATACTTAATAACATATTTGCTACGTATATTCGTTTGGCGCAGGATTTGCATATTTTTCGTTCAGTTGTCTTTATAAAATCGGTTTCTGTAAACAAACAATATACACAGGTAAAAATGGTTACGTAATATTAGTATTGCAGATAAGGTATGATCAAGAAGTAAAATAAATTATTTCGAACATATAACACAATAAAAGTCAAATGTACACGTTACACGGATCTTCAGAATTAAAGCACACGTACCAAACATTTCCTTCTTTAAAGTCTAGAGCCAACACCGCAACTGAAAGTCTAGCTGCTTTTAAAACCGAACTGAAGTAAAATGTATGTGACACGCACGCATCAGGCGTACGAAATATACAATAGAAGTGCATTTGAGAACCAAGAATTCAACAATATTAACTTCCTTTTCTTTGCGTTAGTTTTAAATCAAAAAAAGGCATTTGCAATCTTTTCGTCGCAATCTGTATAGAAGTCGTAATATTTACAGATTCATTAGTATCGCGAATAAACACTTGATGATATCTGTAATGAAGTGTTGCTGCAAATTTCCCACTATTGTATGTCAGACTACGAAGTTTAAGTAGGACCGACTCTGACGTCGGTGTTGAATTGATTATAGCCGTCAGATACTATGCCGATCCCGACTTGCGTACTGGTTCCTCTCTTATAGGATTTTGACTCAGACGCCAGGGTAAGTTGCTGCTTTGGTGGTGAAATTTAGATTGGAATACTTGATGGAATATCGTGATTTTTGTGTATATAACGACTTGTCATGCGTAGATATTTACTTTGCTTTCTGTTGTAGGATCGTGCGTTTTCTCAGATCTCAATGCTCCAGCTCTCTCCTCGCATTTGCTCTCATCGCACTTTAGCTTCCTCCGCATTTAATTTGTTAGCGTTACATTCCTATGCCGCACCTATTTGATTTGTTTAGTTTCGATTTGCCGTTTATCTTTAATAAATAAAATTAAGAAAGTTTGTTTGAGTAAATATCCGCTCGGTCCAAGCTTTTGCTGATTAGGCCAATAGGGAAGTTGCATTCAATTTCCGGTCATTGGTGGACGTGACAATTAGACCATCCGAACTTTGAGGTGACGCGATTTATTAGCTATTATTCAAGATTAGTTCGTAACAATATCTATATGTTCTTTGTCTGTCCTAATCATCATAAAATTCTTGATTCCTGAACAAAATATTGCTAAATGATAGAAGCGATCAAACTAAGGACACTTGAATTCAAACTAAGGAAATTGAATGCAAAATACATTTTTTATATATAAATTCATATATATTACATATTTATGCTTACATATTTATACAAATCCATATTTATGCCATGGATTTGCTTAATTACGTAAGGATTTAAGCAACAAATATCTTCAACAACAAACAGCTTAACACAAGTTTCACGGCCTTGAGAGTGTGCGCATGGGATTCAAATATTGAACATTTCTACTATCGTTATTCGTAAATTCAGAATTCAATCTATGATGCTTTCAACGGTTGGAACTAAGTTAGTAATGGTTAATTTTAAATTTTTCGACGTGATGATTTGAATGAGGTCACATTCAAGGATTTTCAAGTGTATCAGGCGTTTCACCTCAAATTGCAATCTTCTACTTCGAGGCATATGATAGGATTGCCAATTGATCATGATTGTTATATATATGGCATGTTCATTCGTAAGTAACGGGGAATTTCTGGTTTAAAAATAAGTATCATCGAGCATCAGATTTCCTGATGTTTTGTTTAATTATATCAGTTGAAGTTAAAAGCCACATACAAAACTTCAGTCTACAGGGCTAATTCAAGAGAAGGAACACGCGTCAAAGTTGACTCACAAAGCGATGGTCGGCGCTTGAAGCCTCGGACGATGCGAGGGCGTGTGTCAGCGGGGAACCCACGCCGACACATTTGGCAGCGTCGATGGGGTTGTTATGAACAGTTTTAATTGCAACACACTCGCCTATATTTTTGTCGAAGTACTTTCGTTTATTGTACTGGTCATTTGTAACAGATCCTGTGATAAACAAACGGAACAAAGTAAGACCTGTTCATAAATGAAGCTGAGCTTTAAGTGCAAAAAAAAATTTCCTCATATTACAAGGTTTCGACTTGCTTTTACAATACAGCGATGCGAGTTTGTGTTGCTTTTTGTTATAGAATGTAACAGTGAAAGAGTTAACCCTGAAAGAGTTAACCCTTCGTCTGCTGACGGTAACTCTCGTTACCAGGCCTTTAGGTACAAATAGCATTGACAACGGTTAAAGTGTCAGCGCATGAAGAGCTTCAAATATGCTCACCCGGGTTTAAGTTGACCTGCTGGGGGGACCATTCATCCTGTTGTTACAACAGAGTAGGCGAGGTTCTGGTAGTCGTTGGTCGTGTTGCAGTCCAGATTCACCAGAGGCTGGATCAGAGGAAAGTTGAAAGTCCTGTTAGCGTCTCCTCGGCTGGACTGCGACAGAACATTTATGTAGCCCAGGGCCAGGCTGCAAGGATCCGCTGTAAGGAACGAAGCAAATAAGTGATACTTATATCATCATTAGTCTTCTTACATCATTATTAGTTTATTACATTATTATTAGTCTTATTACAAATTATTATTAATCTTCTTATATCTTATATTATTAGTCTTCTTATATCGTAAGTTCACTAAGCACTTAAAGAAAACGCCCTGTAAATTCCTCATGCATGCAGTTGGCAACGAAATTATTCGCAAATTCTTTTCTCTCCAATGTTCTCTTGAATAACTCAAAAATTAATGAATGTACGGGCCTAAGATTTGATTGAACTAAGCAGTATGTCATAGGGAAAATAACACTGCATTTTCAGAACAAAATGTAATTTCAAAACACCGCGTTATTAAACCGCGGTTTCCGAATTTGCTCTACTTTCCATAGTATGCACACTGAATTTGAATATTTGCGCAGTATGTTCTCACTGAAAGGGTTTCCTTCACAATTGGTGTATACTCAAATTAAGAAATTCTTGTCTAAACAATATGCTGAGGTGAAGTCCAGCAGCTATCTCAATCAATCGTCAGCTATATAAAGATCGGGTTCCAAAGGCCGGATCCCTTGTGAATCAAGTCACGAAAAGTTCAAGAATCGGCAACAGGCCATGGGCCTATTTCTTCAACGCCGACACTTCTATTCTATTCTATGTCCTTCCATCTTGATAACATCCAAAAGTCTCTTTCTATAGTTTTTGGTGAGTTTCGAAGTGGTATCCGGTTGGATGTTATCCCGGTGAACATTATTAACGGGGACGTCGAGGTGTCGGTTCCTGCCATTTGACTGCAAACTTCAAGATGGCAAGACGAAAGAATTCATCGTGGATTTGAGAAGCAAAATTACTGACCTACACAAATCTTGCAACGATTATGCATGAGTGCATTTCGAAACGCCTTAATATTCCAAGATCCACCATACAGTCGTGGATGAAAAAGTTCGTACAGTTTGGTACTGCACACACGTCGCCTGGACCAGGGCAGAGATTAACGAAACTTCGCAAAGTACACGTAACTTTCCGTACTTACGTTTAAAAAGTTAAGTATTGCGTAAGTCAGTCGAAATTTGGCATTAACAAAACTCTTACGCAAGTCTCATCTGAAAAGGTATTATCGAAACCATCCAACTAACTGACCAATCAGAGGCTTCGAATTTGCCATTCCTAGCTCCTGTCGACTCAGTGTGCAGTGCGCGTGGATGAAAGGAGGTTGTATTGTGTCAGCGTCATCTGCGTTGACTGACTAGGGAGCATATGGAGAAATGAGTGAGACGTTGTCTAAATAGCAATGACAACGCCTTGATTGTAATTTTTTGCAATCAAGGCAAAAAATTACATTTTTCCCATTCAAATTTTGAGGACTTTTTAGAGAGCTACCTGGAATTTAGAACATTTTGTGAGTTAGAGTTCAACTATCAGCGGAGAAAGAAAGGAATTTGTGTACGTAGCTAGAAAAATGGTTGGCTTGTCAAACTCTACTTAGTTTTGAATCAAAAAGTCATGAAGATATTATTTTAGGGAATGATCACAAAACTCTTAGATACGAATATCAAGATTTGCTTGCAAATTGTAGCACAAAAGGAAAAGAAATTAGCTGGCATAACTTAATTGAAATTTCTTTCTCGAAAAGCACCGTTTAGCACGATCACATATTATGCCATGTTGAATTATTGACAAAATTCTATCACAATTCACCGTGTTGCAAGTAAATCAATAGTTTTATATTGCTTCGGCACACTCAAAACGTCTACGTAACTCCGCTTACGACACCTTCGAGCAGGCGTAGAGCTACGTACGGCTTCTTGTACATAGCTTCCCGCGCAAATGTTTTGATAATACCACCGCTAGAGTTACTTCTTCATATCAGCACTTACGCCACACGTAAGTCGCTACGTGTACCTAGCGATGTTTTGATAATCCGGCCCCAGGAGGAAAGCCCAAACTATCGGAACGATCAGGTCGAAAACTGTGTCGTGAGGTAAATATGAATCCAAAAGTAGAGTTGAAAAACATGCCAATAGATTAGCCACTGAGGGAACGAGCGTGAGTCAGCGTAATATCACATTGTAGTATACAAATGTACTCATGGTTTATACAAAGTCACAGATGAATTCCTAGAGCTTAAAACACGAATTAACGGCAGAGTTTCGCGGCTATAAGCTGAAAAACTGCGTTGCACAACTCATCGAGGTGACCACATTCCTTCTCGCATCAAGTCACCGACATGTGTCACCGACATCAAGTCACCGACAGAGTCAAGTTTCAACCGTGGTCGAGAGCAGACGCTCGTGTTTTTGCGGTCCAAGTTTTTCAACTTTTACTGTGCCGTTTTCGGAACTCTTTCTGCATTTTATTTATGATCCGTGTCAGTGAATGACATCTGTTGAGCTGAATAAAGGGTATTCAACCAAGTATTAAATTAAAATAATGCGGATTTATTGTTTTGTACGAATACTTTTTTCACCCCGAAAAGTGAACATGTTGCATTGTTTTTTGTTGCATTGAGATTTAATTTCTTTTGATAGTATTTTTGAATACTATGCGTCTCTATACATAATTTAAATCACTTTTCCTGTTAAGTTTGTGTACTTACATACATTAAAATACGATTTTTCAAACGTACGAATATTTATTTCCCCCCACTGTATGTTGGACACCCAGACACACATACCTGCTGTCTCTGAAAGGGTGAAGTATGTTGGACACCCAGTCCAAATCACCGTCACCCAGGTCGGGTAAATGGCAGCGGGTAATGTTCCTCCACCCGAGATTCTTCAGGTCAGTGCCAACGCGGGCCGGTGCTTCTCGCACGAAGCAGACATCATCTATACAACAAATTGTACACCAGTTATACAATTATATTTTAGCAAGGTATTGACATTGTCTTATATGAAGGCGTTGTGATATAATTCTCATTCCTCGTTCACGATTTTATTTATCTCTCGCTAATTTAACATTTGTTCACAACTAAAAATTAATACTATTCTTTAAATACTTTTTTCACTTATTTCATTCCATGAATAAATTGGTCCTAAATGAAATTATTGTTATGATCATACATTATCTGAAGCATAGCTGTCGTTTGCACGTCAGATGCGTTTCATCATCTGACTGCATGAATTGTTTTAATTTCAAGATCGGGCTTCTTATACGAATGATAAGGAAAGGGATATCCTATACCAGGAAGCCAGAATGTTTAATTAGTTTTCTTTGTGTTATTCAGACTAAGCATACAAAATCATTTAATTCTACGCAGAGCTTCGGGCCCTGACGATTGAGTTTTAAGGTTTCTTATTCACAGAGGATTCCATTCTAACTTCATTTATGTTTTCATCTTTTTAAACAAATTTCAAAGTGATTAAAGTAGCTATATTCTCAAGAATTTTCTGAACATACTAAATTATAACTTATACTTTTCAAAACTTCACCAACCAGCTCGTAGTGGCAAAGCTGCGCACCGCACGGCGTCCTCCAAGCTGGCCACCCGCACGCCGAACCTCCGCGGCTCCTGACACCGAACGCCCATGTAGGCGAGCACTTGGGCGGGAGAGCCGTAGACGGCACTAAGCCGAGGCCTGCAGGATAATATGGCTGATGGATAAGGATAAGATGGCTGCAGCACGGCACTAAGCCAGGGCCTGCAGGATAATATGGCTGATGGATAAGGATAAGATGGCTGCAAGGATGAAGAGCAGATGATGAGAAGCAGTATAAGATGGCTGTAGCACGGCATGACGCCGGGGTCTGCAAATCCAGAAGCAGGATATAAGATGGCTGCAGCACGGCATTGAGCTGAGGTCTGCAAACCCAGGAGCAGGAAATGATCTGCAAATCCAGGAGCAGGATATGATGGCTGCAGCACGGCACAGAGCCGGGCCATATATAAACATGAGTTTTTGTGCTTGTAAATGTGTCGAAATAGTGTTTTAATATACATGAGTCCTTTTTAAGAAGGAAGGAGCATGTTCTACGATTAATAAATGTTGTATCACAGAGTTCGTATAGCAAGCTGAACTGAAACCTCGAAACGGCTTAGCTAGTGACCGGAACTCGTATTAATTGTTATATCACACATGTCTGGTATATTTTATTGTTAGTTCGTAATTGTAACGTTTGACGCGAATGTTTGTTTTTAAAATTCATGATCTAATAAATGTTTAATATTCTACTTGCCAGACACTCATAGGTCAATCCTAACAACAATGGAAGAATAAACTTTTCCTACCCAAACTGGTTGATGATTGCATCCAGGTCGCTATCCCTCTGTGCTGACGGCTTCCAGAAGGAGTCCAGAGGCAAAAATGTGATGTCCCCGGCGACATTGTCAGTGAGTCCTGTGATGAGCTCCTTCGGCCGCTGGAGGGGGCTGGTGTGAAGAGACAAAACTATGAGATGACTGGGCTTCCTGTTGTTGGACAGGCTAGCGATAACTCTTTCTCCTTCATCATAGTTAGTGACTGTCCACGGTTTGCCATTCGGCAAGAGGTTACGCACGAAGTTCTGTTTCCGAAGAACTCTGGGGGTGTAGTGAACTTTCGCGCTGGGTGTTGAGGTGCTCTGCACTGGGGGTGCGGCCTCCCCCATCCCGCTGGGTGTTGTGGTGTCCAGCACTGGGTGGGGAGTGGTAGTCGTCTGTCTTGCGATCAACTCCTGGGTGAGAATCGGACCGTGGAAATGCAGTCAGAGCTAATGGCTACCTTCATATAGTTCGACTCATATAACATCGGTCATTAGTGATGCTGTATGACCACATAAAAAATTTACATACATTCCTGACAGATGAGGTATCGTTATTTTGAAGCAGTTTAACATGCTACACATATGCATTTCGCAATAATATAATTTTAAAAACATTATTTCTGTTCATACTGCAAGAAGGTTGATGCATAATAAAATATTATTGGAACTATTGTTGGGGTCTTGTATGACGTTGCGTTGGCATAACTTCGATGTTACTAAGGTATAAAGAATATATTAAATCGTAACCTGAACCTTAATGTTCGTGTATTAAAGCGACTGCTCAACCGCGACCCTGTCATTGATTAATTCAGTGTACACAAACTCCAATTATAATGCGTTTAAAGAGTTTCAACATGAATGTTATCTATTCAACTTATATAAGATGCTTCTTGTGATAGAGGTCCTATTCTTGCACTCACCCGAGAGGTCGGTCAACGCACCTTCAGAGTATTGCATTTATTGCCAAGTATATCCAACTTTTCGTTCATTTCAGGTAAGTTCACATCTTCCTCTGGTTTGTATTTTAAACGCTTTATAATCTCCACGTACTCATGTTTCCTGTTCCCATTAACAACCGGTTGATCCCAGGTCTCCAAATCTTGCTCCGCGGCAATTTTCTGAGCGAGCAACGAATCTTTCCATCCATCGAACCCGGACTTAAGGTTAGTCAGTTCGTTGAGCAACTTGGAGATCTCGCTGGTGGTTGAGACCAAATTATTCACGCGCCCAAGCCTGCATTGTATCGTGGTCCGTATTTTTACCCTGGCCCTACCGTCACACTCTGCCCCAGAGATCAGGTCGTCCAGAAGCTCGATGCTGTGGGGGGCGTGGGCGCCCCTGGTGCAGGTAAAGCAGACGAGCTCCTCGCAGTCGGCGCAGAGGTAGTCCTGTGTCTTCCCGTGCTGAGGGCAGGACGACGGCGTCCACAAGGTACGTGTATGAGTTTAGCCATCAGACGGGATCAAGGCGTAAATAACTAACATTTCATCAATTGGTTGGGATGTTTGTTTTGTGCATTTAGGACACTTGATGTTTTCAGATACGTTAATTAATCTTGAAATACAGGAGTAGCAAAATGTATGGCCGCAGGTCAGGCAAAGCGGCTTATGAAGATTTGAGTCGAAATTTTCGTAACAAACTTCACACTCTAGTGTTGGGGTAGCCATGTTGAATGGAGTTGGTCTGTTCTCTTTATTACTCCTCAATTGATATTAATCACATAATTGGCATAGACTGAACAAATTCCATTGCTTGAGTTAATGAAAGACCGTCTTCATACAGATAAAGCAAGCATATACCAGCAATATTGCCCGGCGCCGCATATGCAGCGTGTGTCAATTTTTACAGCGATTAACTTGATACCAATTCTATCTTCTGAAAAGAGCTGGGGACGGTGACTTAATTAAATCTCTTCTTAAAAATGGGAAATTTCTCCTAAATTAGGAAAGTGAGAATAAACGAGAGCAAAGATGAATGATTTCAGAGGAGATAATTTATTATTTATCTCATAATTGAACAGGAAGAGAACATATAAAAATAATTACAACTTCAAATAATGATTATTTATAACTTTAAATAACGATTTTAACAGCCTCAAAATTATCTTGCAATGATTCACATTTACTGCGTAATGCACTGAACGTCTCACTTATGAAATGCAGGAGTTTTAATGGAGGCAGATCGCTGGGCAGCCTGAAAATCGGACTCTAACTCATCAGAGATAAGATTTCTAAATCATTTGAGATAAGATTGAACTGCAATCTCACCTGAAAATAGAGATAATGTTATCAGCCATACATCCACTGGTGCCTTTGGATCAGCGTTGGATGCTACATTTAGAGCAGCTTGTTGTGGATTGAGGAATGCAATTAATGACTTTCGATTTGCAATCAATTAATCATATGGTCCTCAATGGCATTGTATCAAATTGTTTGCTCGATCGCTCTGATTTTCATGTTAATTCAATTAAGTTCTTTTATTTTTCTGCTCATAATAATAATGTTTCTGAGTCAGTTGGTGATTTTTTACTCAAGTGTTTTAATGGGGGTTTGTAAACCAATCATTCAGTAATTAACAAAACTAATTATGATCTAGCATCTGCTTTGCCATGTGTTTACTGCAATCAAGGCTACCACGCATGTGAGCGTCGTTGATCTGATGCGATTCTCAGCCAATGCAATTGTTTTATTAATTATTGTATTATTCATTACATTATTAGACCTCATGACAAACTCATATCCGACTTATTGGTCACTCTCGAAGTTCTTAAATTCAAGTAAACAACAAGGCTGCGTAAATAAACAAGAAAGTTGCACAAGTTTGATGTGTAACGAGAACGTCTGTCAATGTGAGGAGAAACATTCGATCTGAAACCCATACAACCGTATATCTTATATCTCAGGAGCTTTAATTCATTAATGAAGGATTAATTATAAGTACTTATAAAAATTATAATTACTTATAAGCAATTATAACTAATACTTACTTGTATTGATTATAAGTACATTAGTCTGCTTAAATCGCAAGTAACCTAGAATTTAGGAGCATTGAAAAGGCCAAATAAATTCCTTATAACTTGAGGAAATGCTTAGAAGACGATCTCCGGCACCATCAGCTGAATATACTTGTTGATTATACTATCTATTATTAGCGCATTTTCTCATTTATGGAAAAAATGAACTATTGTGCTAGCCACGTCCGTCTGTCTGTCTGTCCGTGACTTCAAGTTTTCGTCGACGTAGTGTCACTCACTACAGTGGGTATTGAGTTATATTTTATTATTATATTATATGCGTGTATTGACTATGCGTGCATTGACTATAAAGCGTGTATCAACGCGCATTGAGATTCAGCTGTAGAGCAGATTAGTTTTGTACAGGAAGTAAATGTGTTTGTTAAAATATTTCTATTTTACATATAAATCACGGTATTTAGAAGAATATTTAGATACCGTGACGGCCAACTATTGACCGAAAACGTGCATTACGCTTGCAGTTATCCAAGTGAATGCTTGCAAAGGACCTGAGAAGATTAATTTTTAGAGCTTAACTATCGGAAATTCCTCCTCCACTTGAAACACCATTGAACAAGGTTACAATAATGGAGGCTATATTAAGAAATAACATTTGAATCCTAAAGATTTGAGTTTCCATTCAACTTTGCTGACACAAGATAAAATATGACACAAAAACACAGACCTGCTGATATAAGTCTTGTCGTTCGTGTTTAAATACGCGTTGATTTCTTTCCATTGTACAACACTTCTCTTTAACTTCACTTCTTGTTGTTTATCTGTCTGTCTGTCTGCTACAAATCTTATAATCGAATTTTAACACACTTCTACCTGTCCAATCGATCTGAAATTGTGCACACTTGCGTAAAGTTGAAGACAATGCATGAATCAATTGACAGAATAAATAATTTTAAAAGTGAAAAATATATATATTTTTTTCAATATTAAAAAATTGGAAAATAATTTTGTCTGCTATAAATCTTATAATCAATATTTAACACACTTCTAACTGTCCAATCTATATGAAATTTTGCACACTTACGTAAAGTCCGAGACAATGCATGAATCAATTGACAGAATAAATAGTTTTGAAAATTTAATTTCTTTTATGCATTAAAATAATTAAAAAATGAATTTTTTTAATATTCAAAAATAAAATTAGAAATTCATTGTACATATTTTACATTGGAGACACTGGATTTTTTAGAAGTGTTGTCTTTAAAAAGTAATTTTTAAACGTATATTATTTAAAATATGACTTCCAAACCTGAATACGTAAATAGGGTACAAAGACTCGTGTAATTTTGTTGATTTTATTAATTCCATCGCCAGGGCTACTCGAGGCACGAAAAGAAATTTATTTGAAGGCCTAAAGCTCGCACTCAAAGATATGCATGAGACATTGTCCAAGTAGAGATGCACTTATGGCCCTTTTGTGGGTCATTTTGACCAAGTTTGGCATGACAGATGGGCGTATCACTGCTACGTCCGCTCTGTGCTCGTGCTGTGGGTGAGAAAGTGTACCTCTACTTGGACACTTTTATTTACACATTTTTCTGAGTGCAAGACGCCGCGAGATCGCGCCGCCTGTCATCGCCTGGCGGGGGGAGCAGCTCCTGGAAAATGTGAAGATTGGATATCAAACATCAGGCTTTAACACCACTGAACAATGAGATTGAAATTCGACTGCAAGAACCGCATTAAAATGTGTCCGTTCTTTGGAGATTAAATTGAAATCCTCACTAAAAATTTTATTCTTTAGGATGGGAAAAAGTGCGGCGTGCCTGAAATTCAGACAGCATTTTATCTAAATCAAGATAATCATAAGCTTTAATAATATAAATTTGATCTAGTCAGCGCTGGAGTCAAGCGATTAATTCTCCGACTGTAGAGTGAAATGAAATTAAAATTTAGATCTTCTAAATAAATCTGCATTCAAAAAACTTGTGATACAATTGATCCATTATAAGTAATATATATAGTAGCTACTCTGAGGCGATAATTACAATACTGGAAAATACAAGCTTCCCATCTTGTTACAACTACAATGTATTTCACTCAATTATCGAGACTAACCAGTCAAGGCACACAAAGAATATTTATCTGCGAAATGGTGCAGATTGTAGCTTCGACAAGTCTTGTTCCCAAGTAGTAGATCGCACATGTTGCGAAGTTGGCAGTGCTGGTGGGATCAGAGGCCCACATGGCATCAGTCGCCGGCAAGATGGTCCCGTCATCCCACTTCCAGACGCTACCATTGTAATTCAAAGGAGCCAGAGCAGCTGCCGGAGCATAAAACATAGGTTGATGGCTTTATGTAAGAAAATGATTATTAAAATTAAGGGAACAGTAAAGCAGAGCCGAATTAGTGCTAGGGCACTTAACATCACTAGCTATGAATTACTATCTATATCAAGTCAAGTTCTGAAATTGAAATGCTTGACTTTAAGTAGATATTTACTAATATTTTAACTTCCGTTTCTTTGTGTACTATTTAATCAAAAAGAAGCCATTGTTCTCTTTTCGTCGCAAATTGTACATCAGTAGTAATATTTAAAGATTTATTAGTAACGAGAATAAACACTTAATGATTTCTATGTTCTTTTTCTGTGCTTATCATTAAAAAATTCTTGATTTTTAATTAAACAAAATATTGGTAAATAACGGAAGATATGGAATTAAGGATACTTCAGAAGATATCGAACTAAGGATACTTCGTAATTAAACGCAATGCAAAATACATATTCTATATATAAATGCACACATATTACATATTTATGCATACATATTAAGTATACATAATTACACCCCCAAGGATTTGCTCTATTGCGTAAGGTTTCAAGCAATAAATATCTTATACAACAATTAACTTAATACAATTTCATGACCTTGAGAGGGTTTGCAGGGGATTCGAATATTAAACTTTTGTAATATTGTCATTCGTGTACCTACTCCGAATTCAAATGATGATGCTTTTGGCTGTTGGCAATTACTTTACTTTGTTGGCAATTACTTTACTATATATATGTATAATTTATATTATGTATTGCTTTTTCTGCACTCGGAAATGGTTCATTTAACTAACTGAGCGAATTCAGCCCATAGGACAATCTCCTACTTCAGTGAATATGATTGTTAGTTGATCATGATTGTTATATACAGGGTGTTTCAGAATTAAGTAACCCTTTTAATTTGTTAATAAATAAAAAACTAAGAACGTTATGAAGTATATGACATGTTCTTTCGTAAACAAAGGAAAATTCAGGTTTAAAGTTAAGTATCATCGAGCATCAGATTGCCGGACTGATAATGTTTTGTTGAATTCTTTTAATTGAAGGTAAAAGCCGATTACAAAACGTTAGTCTAATGTAATAATTCAAGAGAAGGAACACGCGTCAAAGTTCTCACAAAGCGATGGTCGGCGCTCGAAGCCTCGGACGATGAGTGCGTGTGTCAGCGGGGAACCTACGCCGACACAACTGGTAGTAACGGAGAATGGGTACTGGACATTTTGAATCGCAACACACTTGCCAATATTTTTGTCGAAGTACTTTTCTTTAGCGTTCTGGCCTTTTTCAATCGATCCTGTAATAAAGAAACGGAACAAAGTAAGACCTGATCATAAATGAAGCTGAGCTTTAAGTGTAAAAAAATATTTCCTCAAATTACAAGGTTTCGACTTGCTTTTACAATGAAACGATGCGAGTTGATGTTGCTTCTTGTTATCGAATGCTGCAGTGAAAGAGTTCACCCTTCGTCTACTGACGGTAACTCTGGTTACCAGGCCTTTAGGTACGAATAGCATTGACAACGGTTAATGTGTCAGCGCATGATGAGCTTCAAATATGCTCACCCGGGTTTAAGTTGACTTGCTGGGGGGCCACTCCATTTGTTACAACAGAGAAGGCGAGGTTCTGGTAGTCGTTGGTCGTGTTGCAGTCCAGATTCACCTGCGACTGGGTCACAGGAAAGTCGAAAGTCCTGTTAGCGTCGCCTCGGCTGGACTGCGACAGAACAATTCTGTAGCCCAGGGCCAGCCTGCAAGGATCCGCTGTAAGGAACGAAGCAAATAAGTGATACTTATATCATCATTAGTCTTCTTACATCATTATTTGTTTTCTTATATCATTAGTCTTCTTATATCATTAGTCTTCTTATATCGTAAGTTCACTAAGCATTTAGAGAAAACGCCCATTAAATTCCTCATGCAGTTAGTAACGAAATTATTCATAAATCATTTTCTTTTCAATGTACTCTTGAATAACTCAAAAATAAATGAATGTACGAGCCTAATATTTGATTGAACAAAGCAATATGTAACAAGTAAAACAACACTGCAAATAACACAGATTGTAATTTCAAAACGTTTTAACATGCAGAAATTCCTCAAAACCTTCATACACAGTTATTCGTATGACTGGAAAATACTAACATAGTTGCAATGTTAATAATCAATGGTATGTCCTACATCTTGATAACATTCAGCAGTCTTTTTCTATAGTTTTTTTATGAGATTTGTAGCGGTATCCGGTTGGATGGTGACGTCATTCAAGTGGTGTCGGCTCCTGCCATTTAACTGCAAACTTCAAGATGGGCAAGACGAAGGAATTCAGTGTGAATTTAAGAAGCAAAATAATTGACCTACACAAATCTTGCAATGATTATGGGTGCATCTCGAAACGCCTGAATATTCCTAGATCCACTGTACAGTCGGTGATGAAAAAGTTCGTACAGTTTGGTACTGCACACACGTTGCCTAGACCAGGACGGAAGCCCAAGCTATCGGAACGATCAGTTCGAAAACTGTGTCGGGAGGTAAATATGAATCTGAAAGTGGAATTGAAAAGCATTTTCAATGGATTAGCCAGTGAGCGAACAAGCGTTAGTCAGGGTACCATACAGCGTTGTCTCAACAAGAATGGCCTGCATTGACGCTGACCGCGATGAGTCGCACTTCACACACGACGTCATGTTGCTGCTCGTTTGACATTCACAAGATCTTACGTGGACAAAGGGGAAGGCTTTTGGAACCAAGTATTATTGAGTAACAAAACACAAGTTAAGATATTTGGGCATACATTAAGAAGAAGATTTGGCGCAGAAATGGGGAGGCTTTCCTTCCGACGAAGAACACAATCCCAACCGTCAATCCCAACCTGGGGGTGGATCAATGATGTGTTGGGGATGTTTCTCCTTAATTGGCACCGGGAAGTTAGTTCCAATTGAAGGAGTAATGAACTCAGATGTTTATATATCGGCTTTGAATGAAAACCTGCAAATATCCGCTCGGACATTTGTTTTTTTAACGACGATGGATATTTCAGTAAGATAATGATTCGAAACATACTTCGAAAGCTTTACAACCAGTTGACTTGATAAAGCAAAGGTCACTGTTCTCTATGGCTAGCAAATAGCCCCGACTAGAACCCGATTGAAAATTTATGACGAGAGTTGAAAGATAGAATCAATAATTGGGCTCTTGATAATCGCCAAGAATTGAAACAAGTCGCAATTGAATAATGAGATAATATCAAACTGATACCACTGCGAATCTCATCAAAAATTAAACAAAGAGACTGCTGGAGGTTATGAGGATGGAAGGACATGCCATTGATTATTATTATTATTGCAACTATAATGGTATTTTCCCACTGTACAAATAATTGTGTGTGAAAGTGCTTCGCATGTTAAAACTTTTTTAAATTACATTTGATATGAAAATATAGTGTTATTTTCCCTATTAAATACCGTTTAGTTTATTCAAATCTTAGGCTCATACATTCATTAATTTTAGATTTATTCAAGAAAACGTTGAAAATAAATGCGTGTACGAATATTATCGTCGTTAACTTCATATTTAATAAAATCAATCAAGGATCATTGATCGTACACGTTTTAATTGAAGATATGATGAATTTATTTTGATTTTTTTGCTGATAAGTTTTTGATTAGGGATACTGGAATGACTTTTTATAGTTGGCAATCAATTTGTTGTACCTTTTGTGTTAAATTCAGCTGAAATTTAAACAGAATCGAACAAAAGAAATTGAAATGGATCTTATCTTACATGTTTTAGGAAGCTGCACTATAAATGTTGCCATTCGTCATTCAAATTAAAAAAATAATGACGTCTCTTTAAAAACCCATTGCAGTGCCTAATTTGATTTTGCACCTTCATGAGGGATATACAGTGTAAGTGCACGCAATATCTTACACTGAATGACGTTTGAGAAGGCGAGCGTCAACGAAGAGAAGTTGTTCGTTGACACGAGGGCGGTGGTGTTAACTGCGACCTGCAGTACAGCTGAGAGACAGGAAATTACCGCAATGATTCTCCCAGCTCAGCGAAAAATGCTCATTCAATCAAATGAGAAATGAATTGAATGAATGAGAAATGAATGAATGAAGGAATATCGTTGTGAAATTGTTCCGAAGACCAGCGCAACCACCGCGTAAATCTTAAAATTGCTCTGGAATAACATTACGGACAAACTATTAATATTCGTTGTTATTATTCAGAAAAGAATTTAACAGCATAATTTTACTGAATTTTTCTAAATTAATATTATTAACTCCATCTAAACCACTTCCAAATTGTTGCCACTCTGTTTTTCATGATTCTCATTTCAACATAGTCAGCCAATTTGAGGTGCAGGATATAATTAAATTTTCGATATTAAACCTTTAATACCACCTGACATACAGTGTACGGCGTTATTATTGCTCACTTCAGTGTGTTGTACTCTCTTAATAATCCAATGATAATTTAAGATTGCGCACGTGCACCTACAAAACATATACTTATGAAATTTCAACACTCACCTTATACGTTCAGCTCACTCTACGTTGATAAGTCCTGTTCACGCCTCATGACATGTTATAGAGATGCTAATTAAGCGTGTCAGTAACTCAGAACAATCAACAGCAATAATTATGTTTCTACAGCATAAAATTAATTTAATAATACTTAAAACGTGATCATACTGGCTGAGATGAAATGCACTATAGGTATTCATTTCGGACAAAATATGAAAATTGATTTTTGACAATAATTCATACATATCATTAAAGCTAACCTGAGTCGGGCAGTTGGTAGCTGACGCTGGGTCCCCGAGGCGTGGCCCCAAAATATGCGGTCAGGGTGAAATTGAGCCCCAGACATCCTGTCATCTCCGTCACCAACTGGGCCCCGCTTGTCACCACTTCGGTCTTGCCATCGAACTTGAGGAGGTAGGAGTAGAACTCGGTGTAGGGGCTGGCATCAGAGAAGGTGACGTTTAACTTCACCTGGTAGAGGGACTCTCCTCTAGCCAGCGACACCACCAAGTTGGACAACACAGAGTCTGCAGAGTTTCGGGGGACACCAGTAGAGTTCAGTGTATACGAGTATTAACCAAGCCTAGTCACAAATAGTCATAACCAAAAATGATAAATCAGTCAAACAAAAAGCTTTAGTCCCTTATTAGCGTATGAAAAATACATTTTATTCGTAAATTCGTCATAATTCGCACTCGGTACGTACGAATAATTCGATAGAATGGTTGTCTAGGAGCCTTCGGTAAAATACAGAAAATAATTCTAGTTTGTCCTGTTATTATATATATTATGGAACTATATATATATCCATCACATTGCTCATGAATACGAGTATTACAACAGTTCAAACTTTTTCTTTGGAGGGATGAACACAATCTAGGGAAATGCTAAACCACATTCTACGCCTAACCAAGTGAAGCTATGCATATCGAAAGGAGGTTCTGAAATAACAGAAGTCGTTTTGATACTGGAGATATTACTGAGCAAGTTTTTATGCGAGAAAGTGTTGTTATATGGATACGGTGCTCTATTAATATTTAATAAATTCTTATAAATTAAAAAAATAATTATTTGTCTAGAAGTGTGTATGAGTATCTGGCACTGTTGAGATTCGGTTCTATTAACAAGAAGGTTACGAACAACCGAGTCGATGAATGTCATAGAGGTGCTAACTTAGGATTTGGTTCATTGGTTGTATATACGCATTTTTCACATAGGTTGAATGAATCAAACTAATTAATTACATTCTATTCATTCACGCGGCAATTTCCCTGTTTTCTCTCACCGGGGAGTCTGACGTTGGGGTCTGAAGTGTAAAGAATCACGTCCCCCGCCGTGAGGCAAGCTTCCTTCACAGGAATGCTCGCGTTCATAGCCAGACATTGTCCTTGGCGAAGCAGGAATGTCGCCAGTTCTGGAGGATTATAAATATTTGTCAAATTTCGTATATTTTAAACCTGTTTGCACAGTATATAGGGTCTATGTAAGCGCGTATCCAGGATACTTATCGTGTCGGGATATTGTGTATAGGTACGTGCCCTAACAGCCCGTATCCAGGGATACTTATCGTGTCGGGATATTGTATATAGGGGCTGTTGGGGCGCGTATCCAGGATACTTATTTATCTAGTCTGTTCTTGAACGCGTTCATACTTGGAGCGCCAACGATGTCATCGGGGAGGCTGTTCCACATGTCGGGAAAATATTGGAGGAAAAGGAGGGCAGGGAGTGAAAGATTTGAATAATGAAGGAAATGATTGGCAGAGACAGATGAAAGGATTGGAGGAAAGGAAGGCAGGTTTGGAGAAAAATAGTGAAGGGAGCGAAGGATTTGAGAAAAGGAAGGAAATGATTGGCAGAGAGGGAAGGAAGGATTGAAGAGGGATTGTTCCATTAAAAATTTCCGATGCCGACCGCCAATAACGGATTTCAGATTCTTAATCTACACCCCAAAAAATATATAATTAGAAAAGCACCCTTTTTGGATGCACTTAATCTAAAGTATTAAAGAAAGATTGGAAAGATTGGAAGAAAACGATGAAAGATTTTCATCAAAAATCTGTATCAGATTATATTCTTAATTTTGAAGGACGAATGAAATGGGAGTTGTATCATCTATGCAACATGAGGGTTTCAAATGGTCTCTTCTTAATATCAACACACAAACTTCATTATTATTACCAGGGTATGGATTACTAGAGTGACGGTTGTAAGGTAACAGAATTCCAAAATCATTAGAATTATCAAGCTTGGGATAACCTGCTAGTGCACAAAACTACAGCCGAGCATAACTTCTTGCTCTTACCATGCTGTTTTTTGTATTGTTTATGAACTCTTCGCATCAGATTCGTTTTATGAACACGTTCACATCAGAATAGTTTTAGAAACACGTTCATATCAGAATAGTTTTAGAAACACGTTCATATCAGAATAGTTTTAGAAACACGTTCATATCAGAATAGTTTTAGAAACACGTTCATATCAGAATAGTTTTAGAAACACGTTCACATCAGAATAGTTTTAGAAACACGTTCATATCAGAATAGTTTTAGGAACACGTTCATATCTGAATAGTTTTAGAAACACGTTCATATCAGAATAGTTTTAGAAACACGTTCATATCAGAATAGTTTTAGAAACACGTTCATATCAGAATAGTTTTAGGAACACGTTCATATCAGAATAGTTTTAGGAACACGTTCATATCTGAATAGTTTTAGAAACACGTTCATATCAGAATAGTTTTAGAAACACGTTCATATCAGAATAGTTTTAGAAACACGTTCATATCAGAATAGTTTTAGGAACACGTTCATATCAGAATAGTTTTAGAAACACGTTCATATCAGAATAGTTTTAGAAACACGTTCATATCAGAATAGTTTTAGGAACACGTTCATATCAGAATAGTTTTAGAAACACGTTCATATCAGAATAGTTTTAGAAACACGTTCATATCAGAATAGTTTTAGGAACACGTTCATATCAGAATAGTTTTAGAAACACGTTCATATCAGAATAGTTTTAGAAACACGTTCATATCAGAATAGTTTTAGGAACACGTTCATATCAGAATAGTTTTTGGAACACGTTCACATCAGAATAGTTTTAGGAACAAGTTCACATCAGAATAGCTTTAGTAACACCTTCACATCAGAATAGCTTTAGGAACACGTTCACATCAGAATAGTTTTAGAAACCCTTCAACACCAGAAAAAGCAAACTACCAAGGCCTCTCACTTCCTCTGGCAGCTCGCTCAGCGCAAGAAACAACGTCGCCTCCGACACCCAAGTCTGCCCACACGCCGAGGCGCCCATACATCGTCTCAGACACTGCCCCCCTGAAGTAGGCGACCCCCAACTTGGTCTTGAGCGAATACAGCTGCGCGCGCACTGCTTGTGCCATGCAGGAAAGCTTCGAAGGCGGTTTCGAGAGCTGGAGAAAATTTTTCACATTATTATTTTTTTGCGACTTGTATACTTTCTCCATGCGTTGTAATATTTATCATATTTGTTGTAATATTTATTACATTGATTTTAATCTTTATTATTTTGATTGTAGTATTTATTACATTGGTTGTAATATTTATTTCATTGTTTGTAATATTTATTACATTGGTTGTAATATTTATTCCACGATAATCGGTATACTCGAAATTTCTAGATGAGCCTCATTGTTGTTGAGTCACCAGTCTCTGGTTACTAACGGACATGCAAACAGGTTGTGCATGTCTATGTGCAGGGTTGGCCAAGGGGTTACAGTTCAGAGTGACAAGATTGGAGCAGCGAGCTATGGGTTTGATTCCAGCTTACTGCGATAGTTCTGGTCAGAATCGGTTATAAGGCCGGGCGGTAAAGAACAGTAAAATTCAAGCATTGAGTTGCGTGTTCGAGACTGCAACAGGCTGACAAGGTGCAATTAACTAGTGGCTACAGGTGCAACTAGGAGCCACTGGTGCAACTAGGGGCTACAGGTATAACTACCCTATCAAAATTTGGATGCCTGTCAGCCGCTGGCTCAGGGTCGCCCCAAATTCTTTTTGCGGTGTAAATTAGAAGCTCTATGTCCGCTTTAGGTTCCGGTTGCCGGAGCGAAATAAGCGCCGAAAGAGAATCTTTTGAAATACCCGTCGAGCTTGGGG